TCATCATCATCGACCTCAACATCTTCGCCACCTTCGTCATCTTCATCGTAATCGAGCCAGTCCTCCTCCTCCTCATCTTCATCGTAATCGAGCCAGTCCTCCTCCTCCTCCTCATCTTCTTCGTCGTCGTCGTCGTACACCTCACCCGAGTCGTACCAGTCATCACCGAAACGAAGGCGGCGGCGGCGGTCAGAGAAGTAACAGTAGTCGTGACAGTCGTTCAAAAATGACACTGGCCAGACTGAGGTGGTGATTGGCGGTGGTGGTGGTGGTGGTAGTGGTAGTGGTGCTTTGCAGCTTGCCAGCCCTGAAGGCAAAACAGTTTTCGCAGCGGCGGTAGAACCACCAGCGCCCTGGTTAGCTATGGCCCCAGAAATGGAAGCAGTAGCAGNTGCAGCTTGCCAGCCCTGAAGGCAAAACAGTTTTCGCAGCGGCGGTAGAACCACCAGCGCCCTGGTTAGCTATGGCCCCAGAAATGGAAGCAGTAGCAGGAGCAGGAAGAGCAGTCAACTGGCCACCACAACTTTCAGCAGCAGCAGCTCCTCCTCCTCCTTTGGCCAAAATCGCCTCTCGAATCGTCTTGCAAACCTTGCTCACCTTCAAAAGGTCCACGTAGGCGGCAAGTGCTTTGTTGAAGATGGCCTCAGACTGGTCGCCGGCGAGGGCGGTCTCTCGGACCAGACTGGCCACCTCCTTGGCGCACTGCTCCCAAACGGTGACAGAGGGGGGGCCATCTTCAGCAGATCTCTCCTTAGGGCGGTCTTGTACCTTCTCAACCTGGTCCATTGATGATGCAGTGAGCAATTGAGCAAAAGGGTGAAGAGTTCAAAGGAGGCTCAAAACGTTGCAGTAATTTGCTTTAGTAGCGGCCCATAGGCCGCTAGCGACGTGGCTTTGAGAAGTTCGAAGTCAGTCGCCTGTTTGTATATAAGCAGCTACTCTTTGCCATTTAAAGTCAGTCTGGACTACGTATGCTTGTGTTCACTCTCACTCAGCGCTTCTGGTGGCAACGGTGAGATGGACTCAGGCCTCTGCGTTTCGATGCGAGCAGCCCAAGGCCCAGCCAGCCTGAAGACCAAGTCGACGGAGTGGACGTTGGCCCCGCGTCGTGGTGCGCAAGTCGTACGCTGGTCCTAGGCCGAAGTGCGGGACATGAAGTGGGCGATGGTCGACGACGTTGGATGGCTGACTGGATCTCATAAGATGCGTCGAAGACTGGCAGGGAGGAGTAGCGGCCCATAGGCCGCTAGCGACGTGGCTTTGAGAAGTTCGAAGTCAGTCGCCTGTTTGTATATAAGCAGCTACTCTTTGCCATTAAAAGTCAGTCTGGACTACGTATGCTTGTGTTCACTCTCACTCAGCGCTTCTCTTTGTTTTTTGCTCACTTTTATAAAAAAATCACAGAAGCTACTTAGTAAAAGTTCTAAATTAGAACAACAAAGTCAAAGCTGTTAAAAATGGGCAATTGTTGAATTTTAAAGCAGCGTCCGGGCGCAAAAAGCCACTCATTTGGTAGCACTAAAAAAGTGAAAAAGAAAGAGGATAAATGATGAGCACTGCTTGTAAAACAATACCAACTCGACAACAACAGCAAGAAGAGGAAGATGCTAACTAACGAGGCTGTTAGAGAGCTAGTCTCGCTAATTAGGCGAGACGTGCCCAACTGCAAAAAACGATGCACTAAAGTGAAGAAGAAGAAGATGATGATGAAGCCCATAAGCAAACGCAGATTTGCTGAAGCAAAGTGCGTTCATAAATAATGGCAGGACAACGACTACAACATGAGCAATTAACAAAAACAAGGACAAAAACAACACCGAAAGCTTATGAGAGGCAAAGGAAAGGAACCCTGGGATCATAAATATAAAAAGGGCAAGTAAGCCACTTGCTAGTGCTGCTGCTGCTGCTGCTGCTGCTAAGCAGAATATTTTCTTCTCCCCTTGGAAACACAGTAAATCATAACCAAGCTAGAGCGAATGAAAAAAAAACTCCAGACAGGAAAGAACACACATGCTCAAGAGCTTGAAAAGGCAAATCACATTTAATAACAGGAAGCAGACAACAACAACAACAACAACAGTCGTCTTCAGTGGGGCATAACATGAAGATGAAGACAAAGATGATTGTTGGCACTGCACAACCGCAACTAGTCAGGTTGCAAGAAAAGAAGAAGAAGAAGAAGAAGAAGAAGGCAGACGGGAGAAAAAGGCACAATAAAAAAAATGTCCAAGCAGACACATTATTCGCACCCAAAGTGTGTGGCGTTCGCGCTGAGAGGAGTTATAAATATTAATGAAGCTCGGTTTGATGATGATGCTGGCGGTGGTGGTGGTGGTGGTGGTGCTGGTAATGGCAATCATAGTTAGACGATGTCCTCTGAAGAGGATTCAGCATCAGCAGCAACATCAGCAACATCAGCAGCACAGCGAAAGCCCACATTGGCCGCCGAAGTGTCCTGAAGAGGATGAGGAGGGGGGGGGAGAATTAAGAAGAAAAACAAACAAAGAAGGAGAGGAAAAATGGATACCAGGAAAATCACATTAGAAGAGCTGTCTGTCTGTCTGTCTGTCTCCCTCCCTTCTTTCCCTCCCTGGAGGACAATATCCTCATCTCATCTCATTTGAGATTCAAATCAAAATAAAAAAAATTGGAACTATGTGTCATTTTTNGATGTCCTCTGAAGAGGATTCAGCATCAGCAGCAACATCAGCAGCACAGCGAAAGCCCACATTGGCCGCCGAAGTGTCCTGAAGAGGATGAGGGGGGGGGAGAATTAAGAAGAAAAACAAACAAAGAAGGAGAGGAAAAATGGATACCAGGAAAATCACATTAGAAGGGCTGTCTGTCTGTCTGTCTCCCTTCCTTCTCCCTCCCTGGAGGACAATATCCTCATCTCATCACATCTCATCTCATTTGAGATTCAAATCAAACAAAAAAATTGGAACTATGTGTCATCTCCACCTACCGGAGTGTTGGAACTGCGGGCGGCACATCGGTAGCGGTAGCAGTACGACTGGTGGCACATAAAAGAGCCGCCCTTCTTCACGCGATCAGTGCCCGAGGCGGGGCCGGTGGGATTGCGCAGTGGAGAGCTATTTCCATTTCCGGCTGATTCAGGGTGATTCGTACTCCAATAATCGGCCGTCCATTCTGGGGGGAGGGAGAAAGGGGAGAAAAAAATGAGAGAATTGAGCAAGTGAAAAGAGCAAAGGGCAGTGCTGGTCGCTTGTTAGTAGCCTAATAGGAAACTTTTTGAAACTTGAAACAAACACACTCTCTCTCTCTCTCTCTTGGACACTTGAAACTTTAGCCAATTTAGTAAGTAATTGGACAGCAGAAGAAGAAAAATGAAATAAAAAAGCCACTCAAATGGCAAAGTAAGAAATGCAAAACGAATGATGCCAAAAAAAAGTGCCAGGTAACCTACCCCAGACATTGCCGACCATGTTCTTCAGGCCAAACCTGTTGGCGGGAAAGGCGGTGACCGGCGCCGTGCCCACGTAGCCGTCCTCTCCTGATTAAAATTACCACAATTAGCAAACTCTTAAACATAAAAACCCTCCCCTTTTTCTCACCTGAATTACGATTCGGAAACTCGCCCTGCCAAATGTTCATGTAGTGCCGTCCCTTGGGCGTGGGGGCGTTGCCCCAGGGAAAGAGGCGCCCACCCAGTGAGCCCCGACAGGCGTACTCCCACTCTGCCTCAGTGGGCAGGCGCCGGCCCAGCGAGGCGCAGTACGCCTGGGCGTCATTCCACGACACGTGCGTCACTGGGTGGCCCCGCCGCTCCTCACTGGCTAGGGCCGAAGAGTCGGGGCCCTCGGGGGCGGCCCAGCTGGCGCCCGCCACCGGGAGCCACCACTCGGCGCCGGCCACCGCCTGAGAAGTATTCTTCCTGACCGCCTCACTGGCCATCCCCTCCAAGACAAAGGAGTTGCCAAAGAGTTCCGCTTCCGTTTTGTATCCACTCTTCTTGACAAAGTCAGCAAACCTCTGGACGCTCACCTCGTGCACGTCCATCCAAAAGGGCGACAGGTGGACGGGCCGCTCAGGTGCCTCACCATCCGCGGCGATCACCGGATCGTTGGTGCCCATCAGGAAGAGGCCACCGTCCAGCAGGACCATATCCTCTTTGGAATCCGGAATTTGTGCTGACTTTTCTGCTGCCGCTGCCGTTTCGCAGTCCCCAGCATCTTTGCTGCAAGAATCCACCACTGCTGCTTTTTCTTTTTGATGAATGCTGCTCTCCCTCGAAACATGACACGAGTGTCCTTCGACTTTGTCTTCGCCAGCAAAGGCCTCCACTTGAAAGCTGACCACCACCACCACCGTCAGGGCCAAGACGATGATGATGATGAAGAGCACCGTCGAGTGCACCACAGCACAATTTAGTGCCACCATTCTTTAGAGTTCCAGGAGCTTTCAGCAGCACTGGCAGCAGTCTCGACGATTCCTAGGAAGAGCAAAAAATAGAACTAATTGTAATAATAATAAATAATAACTACTACTGCTGCTGCTGAGTACAAGTGCATTGCATTGCATAACGCACACACATTCAGCTAGCTCCTCTCCCATTTTCTTCCTTTTTTTCCCCGGGCTTCACTGCCTTACATTTAGCAAGCAGCAGCAGCAGAGCCGAGCCGAGCCGAGCCTCGAGCGACCGTCATTCAGTTAGTTATAGTTTTT